GGAAAATTGAAAAATTAGGACTGGCGAAAATATTCAATAATAATAGTAAAATAAGTCGAAGGCATTTTTGAAGAATGAATCTTTCAAAAAGATATGTTTGCTGGTTTGGATAAGGAAGTCTTGGAAGTGGTGATCTTAATAGTGGCGTTTGTTTAATACCAACTTGTCTTACCTGTGTAAGCGTAGCCTAGCATTTAGTGCAGTAATGCTGAGTACTGTATGTATGTAGAGAATACGGAATACTAACTGCCTGGCGCGACCTAGGCCCCTAGTTTAGGCCTAGGCATATACAAACTATAATAATAATATTTCAAACATTAGACAAACAATCAATACTATTTTAAATAAAGTGCATTAATTTACATGTTAATTATTAGATCCATGGAACTATCTAGGACCTACTACTACTACTACTACAGGCATTACTAAAATGCCAGTTTATTCGTCGTGGAATGTGGATGATGCCTTGAAAGCTAGCTCAAATTTGCGCGGAAAATGGCTTGGAAAAATGTGCACAGAACGTAACTTCTGCATAATACATTGGCAATGGTTATATACAGTATTCAGATTAGTTCAAAGACTAATTTTCGGCATTCTTCTCGGAAATATAACCACCCGCCTTAGGCGTGGCCCTGCTTGTTCCATGCTGGATCAAAAACTAGTAGAGGGTCAAATGTCCAGCCATTTTGATGGTCAAAATACAGGGGAATTATTATTACTGTACATTAGAAAAGTTTGAGAAACAAGATAGGATAGTCTATTATACATATATTGTTTTATCTTCATTTGTAATTTTTAAACTAATTTTTATTTTTATATTACAAAAAAGTATTATATTAATGAAATAATAAATTCTATTCAAAATAATTGTTTATTAATATTAATAAAATAATTGCTATGTTACACCACTTTGCAATGCATTTGAATATGAGCTTTTCACAGTGATGGTTAATTAGAGTATATATATTTTCAACAAAAATTATCATTGATGATTAGTGCCAGAATGATTAATTCCTTAGAAAGACATTGTAATATCAATACTAATTATTTTTGAATGGTGTAAGAATAGTCACTCTGATTTTTTTTAACTAGTCTGTTCAAACTTTTTATTGTACTTCTCTTCTTACAGGAAATGCCGACATGTTGGATATCAATGGCGTTCATTTGGTAGGTGTTTAACAGGCTAAAGAAATCTGACAGAAGGGTCATCCCATCTTGCACTGTGTGGGCAATTAGGGACAAGTTCCCAGAAGCTGTGAAGACTGCCCTGGGTTTTTTGATGCTATAGATGATGAAATAAACTTGGAAGAATTATTTATAAATTGTTATGGAAGATACCTGATAAGTCCATCCTCATTAATGCAACAGATCTTATGTAAATAGATTCATTCTTGACAATTCATGTGACAACTGTGCTCTGTTTTTTTGACAATCTCATCACTCATGAAAGGAAATTTTGTCAGCACAGGCCTAGAGCTTTTGTATATCTGGACCAGTCAATTGTGTGTAACCTTCCAGACCTAGTCTGTAATTTAAATTGTTGCTATTGATGCGGATAGGCCAGCAAAGTTGATTTCAAGAACATTTTGTCGTTAAGTACAGTACAATGTTTTTTGTATCTTCCCCACTCTCGTCTTATATTTTAAAATTTTAAGCTAATACAGTATGAATTAGAATTTTGTGTACAGTAAATAAATGTAACTTGTTCTTCCCTATTCTTTACATTGGTATAAACTATAGTAACTATAAATCCATATATTTAATATTTTGATAATAAATAGAG